ATAATATTACCTCTAGAGAGTGCAAGACAGCAGGGTAATATGCAGGTGGATAAAACAGTGCATTGCAGAAAGGAGAGCTAATTAATGTGGGGACAATGGAGGAGAAGGGGGAGAACAGTCTGCCTCATAACACAGCTTGGTATGATGAGAAAGCACTTGCCCGGCAGCAAAGGTTACACATGTTAGTATCACAGAAGGCTTAGTGGAAGACATTATGGATTGAGCAACACAATTTAAATGTAGTACAGGGTAGCTGAAGTCAAAATGTAGTTTCAAACAAATTAAATATCCAGATCTAAATAAGTACAAGAACTTTAGAACATTCTCGTTCCCTCAGGGGGGAACTAGTTTTATCTGCTGTGTAAAAGGTGTCTCTAACAGTTGTTAAAATACCCTTTCTAAATAGCTATTCAACCTTACACAGGCCTACACCAGAGTTATTTTAAAAACCATTAGAAGAAACATGGAAAGCATTACCAGTCAGTCCTAAAAGTTAAGCGTAAAGTTTTTTTTAAAAGCCCATGGGATTGGGTGCTAGTGTACACAGAGTGTTTAGTGCACTTTCTGCACCTGCTAAAGCTGACAGGCATGAAGGCTGCAAAATCTAGTGCAAGCTGGATTAATGCATCAAAGAGAAACTAAAGATCATTATGCGAATTGTTGGCCATCTGGGAATCAGGACACATGCGTCTGAGAGCATGAAGAGTGACTGATCTTTGGCACTTCTGGCACTTCTTGAAATACGTCGTTTCAGACACCAACTTTTTTGTCGTTTCGACAAACTACTGTGCCTTCTACCTGGTATATACTCAATTTTTGAATGTATCCTCTAGAGAATAGTCTTCACATACTAGCCTGAGCATTTTCATGGCTGTGGGAAGCTTGAGTTTCAATTCCCCCAGCTAAAATGGGGTTAACTCAAGTCCCTTCTGTGGGCTACTGTTTTAAGAGCTATTACTTATGTAAAAGGTGGCTCTACCCTTGCAATTTGGAAAGCACTCCAGGCTTTCTATAAGCACTTGAAGCACGCTAAGATCGTATCTAACAAATTGACTTCCTTGGGTTACTTTGATATAGAAATACTTAGCTTTTGAATTTTAAAATGGAGGCAGGTATTTAGGCGTCTGTCTCTATCAGTAGAGAACAACTCTGGGCATGCAAAGAACCAGAACATAAAGCTACCAAAGGCAGCCTTCAGAAGGTTCAAACACAAATTATCATGTCCCAAGACTGTACTCTGAGCAGTGGTTTAGTCCACAAAGACCAGGGGATGTTAGATGTCTATGACATTTCAGATTATGTAGACATTTTGGTGTGGTTTCTTGGACCGCACTATTAAGTCTAGTTGCCCCTGGATTGCACTGCAGGTATCTGAAGGGTATCTTGGATTTTATCCTTAGCAATTGACCTAAACCTTAATGCCTGAAACAAACATAGTGCATTGTTTTTCAATCTAATTTTTAATGCCATCTAGTTTATAAAGGAGGTTTTTTAGTTTGTTGTTTCTTCTCTGTAAAAGGGAAAATGATGTGTTTCTAGGCTTCACAGTACTTTGTTTTCATCTGATGGAGCTGAGTGCCACATTCTTAGAGAGTAATTATAGAACTTCAATTATAGTAATTGAAATACTCAGAAGCACATCCAAAAGTAAAGGTTAGGTACCATATTCATGTCTGATTTATGTCTGCGTGTCCTTATTTACTGTGGTTCTGAAGGCATCTGGCAAAAGACGTATAGCGAGGTTTATTAGAAAATTCTGTTTTCCCAAAACCAAAGGGGAATTTTAAAAGAAAGTGTAAGGAAAGGCACGGGTGTGAAACAGTGGAGAAAAGTTTTTCTGGAACTATCATGAGATGTCAATTACAAAAAAAGATGGAGTTTAAACTGGACACTTTGATAGTTCTAATAGTTTAAAAGTACTTGGCAAACAAAGCTATTGAGTGCTTGGAGTTTTTTGGTGAACGTAGAACTGGAAATCAATTGAAGGTGTATTTTTACAGTTAAACTTGGGTTTTTTGCTGGGAGCAGCCCAATGTCTTTTCCCTAAAAGCACCATAAGCTAAATACACTAGTATGTTAGTTTTGCATGATGGAGCAGAGATATCATGTGGAAAAAAATTAGATGCTGTAAAACTGCTTTCCTGATGAAATGGTCCATGTACCTCCACTACAAAAATACTGCAAGATTTCTCATTTACTGAAGTGACAATTTCCAAAACTCTTATATTCTCTCCATCAGAAAAGCCTTGGTGTAAAGCCTGTTGAAAATAAAATCCCCCTGCATTGATTTAAGGGGCTCGATTTTCACTCAGTGTACATTGGCAGAGCTCCCACAGCCTTCAGTCAAAAGCCTGCTGACCTGTGGTAGGTAGCAATGGTTTCTCAGGTCTCAGTTCTGAAAGGGTTTGAACACTTCTTGCTATGTGACAGCATGCACTTACAGTTTCATTTATATCAAGGTAGTGCTCTTGCAGGACCAGGCCTTTTGGAAGATGCTTTTGAGTGGTCCTGTTTGCTTTTTCTGAAATCAGATTCTAGGAAAAGCTTGCTTTTTTTATCTTTTGCTTTCCATTTCTTCAGTCTTCATTTCACACCACTCTGCACTTTTACCAATGCTGTTCAAGGCTGAACAATCCCCTGAGCTTCTTCTGTTTCATCTTTAAATGAAATAGGGTGTTGCTTGGCTACATTTCATAGAATGTGTCATTTGACTCAACATCTTAATGCATTACCTCATACTCATCCCATTCTCAACATATTTTTTGGCTTGTCTACACTTAGAAGGTCATTCCAATTAAGGCATGAAATGAATTTAAAATGCAGCAGGTATTACCAGTTACTCCATGTCCATCTGAGCAATCCAGGACAAATATGGGGAAAAGAGACACTGCAGTCATTCCACTCTTGGAAAAAAGTTTGATGACATTTGAGCTTCTACCTTTTCCTTCTTTCAAGTGACATGTGAAAGAGACCTGAACTCTGTTGTAATCTTTATGCAGAAGAGGTCTAAATTGGACATGACGCTGTCTGTGCCCTATGACAGCTCTCCTGTTCCACCCTTCCTCTCTCTCTCTCAGTCTAAAAAGTGACCATGCCTCATTTCAGCTAGTTCCCTGATGAGACACAGGCAATGCCCTTGAACTCTCCTGCCTGCATCCTCCTCACACTGCAGTTTTCAATCTCTTACACTTAAGGTGATGTTCATTGCAGAAAACCAGGAGGGTTTGTATCTTTGGGAACCAGTGCTTCATGGGTCCAGCCAGATAAAACTGATACGTGCTTGTTGGTGGCCGTGGAAGATGACCTGGATCATCTTGCTCAGTCCCTATTCCTACCTCCTTTAAATGAACATGCAAAAGAAGCAGCTCAGCTTTTGCTTTTCTCTTTGAGGCTTTTAGTAGTTAGAAAATCAGACAATATGAGATTTACATAGATTTATGCTTTATATTAAGTAATCTGATTTGAAAAAGTGTTAACAGCATTACATTGTCTGGTTACGTTTCAAGGAATTCTCAAGCCAAGATTCTAAGCAGACGCATTTGTGAATATTCAGCATAAACCTCACATTCAGATTCCTTGAATTTATAGTTTTCTTCTATTTTTGCTTCTTATTCAGCTAATCAAGCTCAGTATTTTCTAATAAAACTTTTCAACTACTGAAGAGATATATTCCTAATTAGCTTTGATTCTGCAGAACATTAACTTGTGCTCCTCTAAAGAAGAGTGAGAATATGTGAGAGAAACAGCTCTGCAGATACCAAGGCAGGTGAAGAAGAGAGGAGACACTCTAGGTGCCAGCACAGAGATTCCTCTGCAGTCCGTGGTAGAAGCCCATGGTGAGACAGAGCCCATGGAGGCTAACAGTGAAGCAGATATCCACCTGCAAACCATGGGGACCCCCATAGGAACAGGCAGATGCTGGAAGGAGGCTGTGTCCCTGTGCAAAGCCTGCACTGGAGCAGGCTCCTGGCAGGACTTGTGGACCGATGGATAGAGAAGCCCACACTGGAGCAGGTCTGCTGGCAGGATTTGTGATCTGTGAGGGACCCTTGCTTGAGCAGTCTGTTCCTGAAGCACTATGCCCTGTGGAAGGGACCCATGCTGGAGTAGCTCTTGAAGAACCGTAGCCCATGTGAAGGAGTCATGTTAGATAAGTTTGTGGAAGACTGTCTCCTATGGGAGGGACCCCATGCTGGTGCAGGGGAAAAATGTGAGGAGTCCTCCCCCTGAGGATGAAGGAGCATCAGAAGCAATGTGCGATGAACTGACTGCAACCGCCATTCCCTGTCCCTCTGTGCCACTCTAGGGGAGGAGGTAAAGAATTCTGGAATAAAGTTAAGCCTGGGAATAAGGGAGGGGAGAGGCGAAGGTGTTTTAAGATTCTGTTTTATTTCTCATCCTACTCTTATCTGATTGGTAATAAATTAAATTGATTTCTCCACGTCAAGTCTGTTTTGCCCAAGATGGTAACTGATGAGTGATCTCTCCCTGTACTTATCTCAATCATGAGCCTTTCATTATCTTTTCTCTCCCCTGTCCAGCTGAGGAGAAGACTTACAGAGTGGCTTTGGTGACCATCTGGCGTCCTGCCAGGATCAACTCACAACACGACTTTTGCACTCAGATCTAATTATGGAACCCTAAAAGAAGTGCGTGTAAATTTTTCCAAGTACAATATAAAGTGAGAAAAACATTTCAGCTCATCTGCAAATATTTCACTAAAGGACTAAAGTAAGTAGATAATGCAAAAAATGTGATTATGAATGGTTTTGTGCAGGAAAATAAAATGAAAGCAAGTACATTTTTGTACAGTTTGGAAAATACTGAGTAATAAAAATAGTCCAGTATGAAAAAACTGTGTCTAATGAGGCAGCATTAAAAACTACATGGAAGACAGGCAGCAATCAGTTATTAGTGCACTGAAGCCAATGGACATTGTACCATTGATACTATTTGGCCTATTATCTTACCTCATAAGGGAAAATCCTTTTAACCCTTACCTGTACACTAGTAAGAGTGGTGTATTGATAAGCTTTGACTACCAGGTAATTGGCTTCTATATCTATTATCCCCAGGATCATGTACTTCCACCATCTCCTTTTCAAAATTGCCAGCAAGTTTTCTTCTCCTGTGGTAATAAACAAGAATTATGTAAAAGAGTTAGGTTTACATGCACAAAATTCTTGCCTGTCAAGAGAAATTATCTAGAAGATCTCTTGCATTTACAATCTGAAGTTGAAAAGAACTATATATAAAGAGGTATTGCAAGGAGGTGTACACTAACACAGCCAATTTGTCTCACAGTTATTAAACCAGCCAGCCTGGTGTAGTAATATGTGAGGGTCAGACTGTCACTTCACTTAAGATGTACACAATGCCAGGAAAAACAAGTGCAGCTTGGGCAGACTGTAAATGTGTTCTTAGTTTTCCTTTTACACATACACGTATATATAAATATATAAAATGCTAAAGAATAGAGCAGTTTATTACTACATTTATACTTTCTATACATACTGATAAATGTTGTATCACACATGGTGCAAGAGAGTTTTGCCAGAGTAGGAGATTACCAGTATTTGCAAATACAACAGAATGTTAGAGAAGGAGAGTAACAGCATCACTTTGGGGCAGATAACAGATCTTGTTCCAAGGGCAGTTATTACGATCCTAAAGGCTCAAAATATCAGACTTGTTCAGAGAAAGGCTGCACAGAGACAAACAGATTTTGCATGACAGGTTGCTCTGCTCTCAGGATTGATTTTTGAAGTAGGCAGGTTTGGGGCCTTCTGTGGGAGCCCAGTACTTAATTTCCACCACGTGAAGGCTAACGATACAACACAGCCTGCAGAACAAACCCACAACTTTCAAAAGGTCAGAGCATTCATTCCTCATGCTAGGCTAGGGTTTATTACTGTTCTCCATTCAAAAGAAACCAGCTCATTAGTGAGGGGGACAAACCTGTTACTTAATCTGCATTACAGTAAGGTCCAGACATGATGGGACCCCACTGTGAAAGGGCTGGACATACAGACTGTGAATGAACACAGTATGACTGAAGGCCTGTTAAGAATCTGTAGTCTGAACAGGGATCTAAGTAGGGTTGAGCTGTACTGCCAAGGTACCATAAATGGAATTTGAACTGTCTTGAAAGTTTAAACACACTCCCACCACCACCATTCTGAGATTTGTTCGTGTTGCTGAAGTCCTTCTAAGTGTCTGTGATCATCAGAATGAGTGGTGGAAAATACAGAAGAAAAGGAACCTTATTGTCCATCACCACTAAAACTTGCTCAGGCTTCCCAATTCTCCCTCATCATTTTCCTCCATCATAAGTGTTTTTGCTCTCTGGTTCAAATAGCCCCAGTGATATACAGGCTGCCAGACCATCAGAAATGGCAAGCTCTCTATAGCACTGGAATATCTCAGATTGTATCTTACAAGATACAATCACAGAAAGCTGGACAATTACTTCAGAAGTTGATTCAGAACTCTTAAGACGTCAAATCTTGGCTCCATTGAGTGATTAGAATGGGTATTTAGCTGGACAAAGCATCTGAATCATTTGATATTTGTTGATTGACAGATCCTTCCACATACACACTTCCCGTGGGATATTATTACGCAACAACGTAATTATTTGTTACAATGATAACGACACTCCATGCAGAACTGTAAATGCTAAAAAGCTTTCCTACCCACTCTCCCATATCTTTTTATCTTTCTTTCTCTCAGTAAGAAGGAGAGAAAAAGAAGAATCAAGGTAGTGAGTAGTCTAATTATTTAAGACTGTAGATAAGGAGTCAGTACATACAACTATACCACACTTTCTTGTTACCACCCATTCTCAGAACTCATGAAAAAGCAAATTCTACTCTTCAGACATGAATTATGACTACATTTATGTATTTGTTATGACAATTTGAGCATGAAGACAGAGGGATATTTTAATAATTTATATCTTATTTTTAAATACATTTAGGGAGATATTTTAAAAAAAACATTTGAGATTAGTTGTCCTAATTCCTACTAAAATCATGTAAAACATGCAGATAACATCTTTAAAACACCATCTGGAAAACGTCAATTTAATGGAATGCCATGGTTAACATTTCAGAATGATTCTTCACTTTAATGATAAAGAGAAAATTTCAAAATCAAAGACATCAAATTGCAGTCTCTGTTCCAAGAGTAAAAATACCTCCCAAATCTGATTTTGTTACAGTAGGACCTTGGTGGTACCTACAAAGCAGAAAAGACCAGGCTGAAGAACTGCACTGGCATTAGGTTGCCTCAGCAAGGACTATAGACACACGTCAAGGACAGCTTCTATTTCCAACCACAGATTACTGTACTGCTCAGATGTGGCCAAACCAGTTAGCTTTAAAAATGAATGTATGGCCATGATTTCTAGCTAATGAGTAAAGTTAGAATATCCAGAGATGGAAATGAAATATTCCACAATTTTAACTGACATACATGGTGCTCTCTTTTGCATTCTCAATCCTTTCTTTGCTATTGACAGAAATAAGAAAAATATTTGGCAAGTGGTATTTTATCATTGATATACAGCTCTGAGATAGTCCAAACTGGAAAAGATCAGTTTCAGCAGAGCAAAACACAATGCCAAAATGAATTTATGCAGGCACTGTACAGTTCTGATGAACATTGGTTTAGCTTTACAGCAAGTGTCTTTGTCTTGCGCAGTGGAAAGCAGAGAGATGTACCAGTGTTCAGCATGACAGAAATAAAATAGGGAAATTGTTCCAGGAAATAAAAAACCTTGTGCAGGAGCTACATCTTTCTCTGTGGAAGATTCTTTGTCTTCACTTCCACTCACTTGTATCTCCTGTTACTTTGTGTGTGAGGAAGGTTGGGCTTCTGACCGGGGCCCCTCTGCCCAAGTTATTACTATCATTCGTCATTAATGGATCGGTTATGCAGATCTACAAGGATTCCCAAAACTGATGGAGCTTGTTTGATGGTATATCTGAGGGAAAAAAGCAACACGTATTTAACATTGGTAATCTGGGGACTGTTATTTGTTTACTGCTATTTCTTTCGCATTGTCATCACAATTCATAGAAGGGAATCAACTGCTCCTAAAGTGGAAGACCTGGGGAGAAGGGCAAGATAAAGAAGATGATCATCTGCAGTTAGTGTCAGTCCAATGCTACAGACAAATCAAGGAAGAGGCAGGTCAAGTCCCTGTTTTGACACAGAACTGAAAAAGCCACCATATTCACATGTCACAGTTTTGTAAGAGTGACTTAGCAGAAGGCAACAGTGGAAAACAGCCTGGAGAAGGCATCCTCTGCCAGCAGGACAGGACCTTTGGACAGCAATCACAGATGGCATCCTGAGTGAATCCTAGACAAAGAGTAGGGAAATGGGAGTTGGAGAGAGAAGTGAGAAGCTTTGAGTTAACTTGGGATGACTAAAATGAGAAGCAGAAGAAATCAAGAGATTCATTAAGATTAATTTAAAAATCTACTTCCTGAATAGAAATAAATATCACCTTTGGATAAAAACAAAGTGGGGGAAAATATATCACAATATCAGTGAAAAACAAAACAAAAAGAGACAATATGGGGTTTTTATTTCCCTTGCTGACAACTCAAAGCAAACTAATTATTCAGGTCTTTTGAGTTGTAAGCATTGCAGACCAGAAGGATCGAATGCAGATGCCTACACCTGAAGTAGGTGGTAAAAAGCTTTTTTCACCTAAAATATTATTAACTGTTTAGGATGAGACAAGACGGTGTTTTGCAAATAAACATCTCTCCCACTGAATATAAAGGGAAGGGAGATTATGTTAGATCGTGTGGATTTGTTATTACCTAAATAGAACTGTGACTAAGGCTTCCAGCCACTCATATAAACAAATACAAAGTGTGCAGGTTAGCTTAAAGGCAACATTTCCAGTTGGCCAAAGCACATATTGATGTTAGTGAACATGCATTTATGTGGGTGCACAGAGCAATGCCATCTTCAGACATTGCCATCTTTTGAGGAGTCTTCCTTTCAAAAAACAACCTCCTAACTTGTCAGCACTCAAGTTTTTAAAAACATAAGCCTTCATATTCAGTGTAATCCAAATGTAATAGAAATTTAAAAACAAATAGCATTTAAGAATGTTTTAAAACTCAGAAGTCTAACATACTGTTAACACAGAGAAATATAAGCCCTCTCTTCACCGCTCCTAGAAAGATGGGCTTAGGTTTTACATTCTTAACTAATTTTGCAGTGTGACACACACTTGACAGTTATATATACAGAGGAGCTCTCAGTGTTTGGAAAAAAGCTACAGCTTTGCCTCTGCTGGCTCAAATTAAAAATCAACAAATAAGCTGCTTTGTAGAAGAGATGATTTTACATCATATAATAAGGATTTACCCCTGGGGGGTTACAAAATTAAAAATAAATTAGAGAGAAAATTAAAAGAGGCTTTAGCTGTGCAGTGTCTATCGAAAATACATATACACATGTGCAAAACCCTTTTCACATTCACCCACACAGCCACAGAGCTATAATAAAAAAGAAACAACAGGCATTAAGACAACAAATTCCCAATTATTTGTGTATGGGCTTGGGACACAGGTAGAATAACAGCACTGCTAGACCAGAAAATAAGCATATTGCTTCTCTTTCATCCGCTGCAGTCTCTCTTTTAATTTAGATGACAACTTGCTATTTAGATCAGGATCATCAAAGGAGCTTTGCCCTCCTTTTACTTTACAGAGCTCAGCGGAAGAGATCTAAATGTGTACAAGAGACTTGCAAGGGGGAAGGCAGCATGGAGAGGGAGGGGTGCTGGACACACTGGTCCTCCCCTGCCTTTAACAGGAGTGCCAGAGCTAAGTGCTACAGGATAAAGAAGCAAAAGCCTCACAGAGGATGACTATACTAGAATTTACTTATTATCACTTTCTTTGCAAAAGAATCTCAGTTACAAAGCACAATTATAGGATAATTGTTTCTTCCATTTTCACCCATTATAGCAAGTCTTGCAGCTACTTCACCAGTACTAATGTTGCTTCTGTGCAGACTTTGCAGTCATCCCAGCCCTGCCACAGCCCAGCGGAAGGACGTAGTCAAATGGGATAATACCATGTAGGGGTAACAGAGATC